AGCCCGTGCCCGACTTCAAGCGATGCAAACGCAGTGGAAGGCGTCGCTGCAGCGTGCCAAGAGCCGGCGCACGACCACGCAAGTCGACGAGTTCTCGCTCACACGACCCGAGAAGACTGCCAAGCTCGCGCAAAAGAAGCAAGCACGCATCGAGCGGCTGACCGCGGCCGAGCGCGCCGAGGTATTTCTTTAGCCACCATGGTGCACGCTTTAACGGGATTGTATCGAATAGAAGGATGCTATGGAAGCGGAGCGGCGGCAGCGGTTGGAGGCAGCCATGGAAGCGGCCAAGGTCAGCACCAAAGTGTCGATGACGGCGTCGCACAAGCTGCGCACCGAGGCAATCCAAGCCAAGTTGAAGGCGCGCCACGAGCTCGACAAGAGTCAGGTCGATCCACCCGATTGGCTCGTATCCGGATGTTCCTCTGACGTGGCACGCTGTAGGAGGAGGCGCTCGTGGCCAAGAAGGAAAAGCTCAAGCATATTGCCAAGCAAGTGATTGCCGAAGTCTCTGATAGCGAACGGAAGCGAAAGGAAGAGAAGGGCAACTACGTTGTACTGCAAAACACTCGTTTGTGGAGGCGATTGCATTAGGTGTCTTTAGGAGGACCCCGAAGCGGCGGCCAAAGCCAAGGCCGAAGACGACCGCCAGGCGTACCAAGACGCCATCAAGCGCAACCGCGAGCGGATCCTCGCAGCTGCCGCGGCGCGGCCGTCGCTCATGGAGCGCTTTGCTATCGACAAGAAGAAGGAAGAGCACAAGGTAGAGTACCGATTGCGCGCTGCTGACACCCACATACCGTAGCGCAAGGCCCTCCAAGCCGTGGTGACCAACGTATTTGGAAAGAATCTGGGCGCGTTCAAGGGCGTCTTTACCGAGGACGAGGAAGACCTCGTCGCGGGCCTCGAGACGTCTGCCGGTGACGACGCCAAGGACACCAAGGACGAGGACGAGTATAATGAAGACGACTAGCTCTACTGTATTACGATGGCTTAGACAAACGAGAAGCGCTGGTTGGGCGCGTCGTTGACGCAGGCGAAGACCTGCACCTTGTTGCCTTGGGTGGGGTCCACATCGAGGCAGACGCCATATGTGGCATGTACGAGTCGCGACGCTTCTTGGCGCCACCGTTGGTTGGCGTTGTTGGCGGTGCACGGATACAGAGCGACGGTCAGCTGGTTGTTGTTGTTACCATTGCGGGACACGTCTAGGCAGGGTTGCTGGCCGCCTTGGTTGACGAGGACGTCCCCGCGGAGCTGCCAGAGGTCGTCGGCCGACGGTGGCGACGCTGCTTGGTGCGCGCGGAGCCCTCCGTGAAGCGCGCCGACGCTTTGGCCGTGGCTGGACACGATCGAGAAAGTACGGGGCCCGGTAAACGGCGCTGCAAGGTCAAACTTCCAGCGCCCGTCGACGCCGGCAAGCCCAAAGTTGGCCTCGAACCCGCCTTTGCTCGGGTTGTCGTGAAACATAAAGTAGTAGGGCAGCGCGCCGCCGTTGCCGCGCTGCGTCCACTGCACAAAGGACTGGTAGTACGCGATCGCATTCTCGCGGTTCGAGATGTGCGGGCCGTTGTTGCCACCGTCGTGGGGCCAGCCCGTTTCCGTGATGGTGAGCTTATCCGGACCGTAGAGGCGGACGAGGTTCTTCCAGCGGGCGTCGAGGTCCATGACCGGGTTGGTCCACGAGATGGACGCGCCGCCAAAGAAGGCGTAGATGTTGACGCCAACGACGTCACAGGCCGCGACCAGCGCTGGAGCACGAAGCCAGTCCCCGTCCATTTGCACCGACCCGACCTTGATGTGGGCGAGGCCTGCCTGGCGCAGACGATCCTTGGCCTCGTGCACCTTGGCCACGACGGTCTCGACCGACATGGCGTTGTGGAAGAGGTCTTCGTTGCCCATGAAGATCGCGTGGACCGCGTCCGGGTGGCGACGCGCGCCGTCAATCGCGGCTTGCAGGTCGGCCGTGTAGTTGGCTCGGATCCACACACCGGCTGCGATCTGGAGCCCGGCCTTGGCCGCAGCGTCGATGACGTTGACACCCTTGGCGATGGACTGGAAGGTTCGCACGGCCGTAAAGCGCTCCTTGATCGTCGCGAAGTGCTGGTCGATGTGGTCGATGTCGTACGTGTCGTAGCACACACCACGGGTTGCGTTCCCGGCGGCAACGACGACGGCCGTCAGAAGAGCCAAACTCGCTGCGAGGACGCGTACCATGATAAAGATGAGTGCAGTGGTCGAAGGCCGGCAAATGCGAAAGTGCCAAGCCACGTGAGAACTCACAGAAAGCTCGCCTTTCCAGCTTGAAGTTGTTTTTACGCAAGTTACAAACTGTAGAGCGTATCGCTGGCCTACAGCATTGGAACCACGCTTTGCCTCGTCGTGAGCGAGCTGCGCATGGACGCACCATAAGCACAGAACACTCCAGCACCAATCTTTCAAGGTACTTACACGGAAGCCGAAGCGCCATCGGAGGTGGCACACCATGGAGGCAGCGATATGCAGCTTACAATCACACAGGCGTCGCCCACGATGTGCTGGCGGTCAGCGCCACGGACCGCAACGCGATCTCGTCCAGCGTCACGCAGTCGGGGACGCAGAGAGGTTTGCGCAGTCCTGGCGGTAGTTGAGCCGTGTCTTGCACGCAATCGTTAACGAGATGCCGCGACGAAGCCAGCGTAGGGCAGCGTGCAGTGTGCTCGCTTTGTCAGGCCGAGCTCCCGCGTTCTCGTACATGCATATGCTTGGCAAACGCATGGGCAGAAGAGCGCGAAACAGCAGTCGGGAATCGCAGCGTAGCTTGGATCGAACAGCCCGTGTGCCAGAAGCCAACGATGATGCTATTCGGTCTCCAAAGCTGATGACCTCCGTGGTTGCCTGGGCCGGCGCCACCGTGGTCGTCTTGACGCGCCATGGCATCGGATCCGACACCGCGAACTTCGAAGCTAAACGCACCCAATGTTGAAGCCATGACGGTATTCATGCCATAGCTCGCTCCCGTCCACGTCGCCATGCTACCAAGCGTGTACGCGATGGCATAGCAGGACCGTACCGGACCATCAACTGCGTGCACAGGCGCCACGTCATTGCGCCGTTTGTGCGGTAGACAGGCCAATGTTGCGTGCCTTTAGTCAGTGCGCCATAAATACTGAGCTTCGAACTTCGGTACTGTCTAGACGTCAAGATGCAAGCCGCGTGCCAGGACGGCGTCGCGTGGTGGCGGGCGACCATCGGCGATGCGCCGAAAGTGCCAACGGACCACGTCCTCGACCACCTCCTCGAGTGCATTGACGTGTCTCTGCCGTCGGCCATGTCGCCGCAAGAGATGCGAATCTACCTGCGCGTCTGCCTCGAGATGCGGCCAACGCTGACGCTGCGCGACTGGGAGCACTTTCTTGTTCGGTTTGGGCCCTTCCGGTCGTGCATCACCAAGTCCGTGACGTGCTTCCAGAGCCGGTACCACGACGGCATTGCGCCCTGGTTCCACGGCGTCCTCTCGCGCGCCGATGCCGAGGCCATCCTCCGGGGTGGCGACGACGGCTCGTTCCTTGTCCGCTTCAGCGAGACGCAGCCCGAAAAGTTTACCCTCGCGTACGTCAAGGTACACTCGGCGCCACCGTACACCGGGAAGCGCGAGATCAAGAACGTCTTGCTCATCCACGACCCGACGGTACAGCCCCGTCACCCCAACGACGGTGTCTCATGGGTCATTCATTAGCGCGGCTACGGGCCGCTCGATGGCGGCATGGGCCGCTTGTTCGAGTCGATTGCAGCCTTCATCGACAGCAGCGCGGGTCGCCTGCGCGTCTCGGTACGAAGACGAGCCATCAGCCCATGTGACGTCGCACGTTCCTACTCTAGTACCCGTCCAAGCTCTCGTCGCAGATCAACGACGAGCTCAAGGCCGCCCGCAAGACGGGCTCCCTCGACTTTGGCCAGCTCTCGCTCCACGACAGAAACGGCTACGCCTCGTTCAGCACCGAAGACGTTGGTGACCGCGTACCGCCTCCCGGATGCTTGTTTTCGTCGCGGCCCAATCCGATCGTCGCGGCGAGCAGCGACTATGGCCTACTCGAGCCACCGGTGCGAGTGTCCGTGGCCGACAACGACTACGGCGCCTTCAAGTCTGTCACCGCGACTGACGACAACTACGGGTCGTTTAGTCGGTTGGCTGACGGCTACGGCACCCTCGGCCGCGACGACATCAAGTCGTCGTACGGGCAGTTCAACTACATTGAAACGCAGCTCACGCCACCAAATCGTCTCCCTGCATCGTCCTCGTATGGACGGTTTGATGCTGCATCCGAGCCCGAAACAAGTGCCTACGGGCATTTCTCTGCCGCCGCGCCCCCGCAGAGCGCCTATGGCCGCTTCACTGACGTGGGAAACTCTCCGGTGGCAACGCCACATCCGGCACCGGCGATCTACGGACAGTTTGCCTCGTTGCCGCCGCAAACGAGCGCTGTCGAGCCAGCAAATACGTATGGGCAGTTTGGTGACGTGGCTTCAGCGCCGGTGCAGTGCACCGAGGCACAGGCGATCGCTCAGCTCGAGATGGGCATGACGCTCTACAAGCAGGCGAATCTCCACGAAGCGATCGAGTACTTTCTGCGCGCCGAGTTCTTTGCCAAAAACGCAGGTATTTACATTGCCATGTCGTTGACGGACTGGCTTACGATGATGCCCACAGGCGCGACGCACGTCGAGGCGCGGGCGCTCGGGAATCTCGGCACCGTGCACTTGGATCGGAAGCAGCCGACGCAGGCCGTGCTCTACTACGAAAAGTGTCTTGCGCTGACGCGGCAGGTCGGCGACGGGAAGCGCGAGAAGACGATTCTTAACAACCTCGTGCTCGCGTGCATGGCCGCCGCCGACTACGCCATGGCGCTGCGGTACTCGCACGACCAGCTCCGCGTGACGGCGAATGCCGTCAACCGCCAGAAGATCGCGACGCGCATCGCGTCCCTCGAAGAGCGCGTCCAGCAGCAGGCGTCACTGGCATCCTAACCAGCACAATCCAGTACCATGATCCGGTCCTGATCCGGTCCCACGCTCGGTCGGTCCTCGGCCTTTTGCGCAGGTCGCAGGCACAGTGGCATCCTGCCAGCTGGTCGTCACATCACCGGTAACATGTACATGGACATGTAATGGCTCGTCGGTCTTTGCCGCCGTGCAATCCTACTGCTTGCTTGGACAGGCAGCGTAGTAGGACACGTCGGCTTCCTGTGGTCGCTGCTGCTGCTGGTGCAGTAGCAAGGTCATTGGCCATATCGACCGACCTCATGGCCGCCTGTCCCGAGACTCAATTTTTGGCGGACCTCTACCTGCGCTAATTCCTTCGAACTTCGAAGAACGGGTGTATTTTTTGTTCTGTTCATACAAAACACAAGACAAAAGCCGCACCTCGAATAAAAGGAGAGCTTGTAACACTGCGTAATGAGGGAAACTGGGCTCTTGGCCGGCGCTTATCGAGCTTATTTTCCCAGCCACCAGCATGCGTCGACGAGCGACCGTCGTCCTGCTGCTCCTCGCGCTGCAGGCAGCCTCGGGCCTCCACCTGCAGAACGGGTCCAAGGTCACGGACGTACCTACGTCGCCAACGACGTCCACGACAGATCCCATCACGAAGCCGCCGACGCCGACACCGACGCTGACAACATTGACGCCTACGCCAACGCCGACGACGGCGCCGCCGACGAAGCCGACGACGCCACCTCCGACGGGCCCGACAACGGAACCGCCACCGCCAACGCCAGCACCAGTGACGGACGCGCCTGGACCGTCGCCGTCGCCATCGAATGCAACACCGACGCCGTCGACAAAGACGCCACCCAGCGGCTCGACATCGACCCCGACGCCGTCGACCAAGGCACCCACCCGATCGCCCAATGCGTCGACGTCGTCTGGGTCTGGATCGGGAGACTCGTCCATCGCGACGAAGACGCCCGCGCCCAACAAGCCAGACGACTCGTCGAACGTCATCACGTACGCAGCTATTGGCGCCGGTGTCTTTGTCGTCGCCGTCGGCCTTGTCGCGTTCGTCTTGTACCGGCAAAAGAAGGCCGCCGAGCTCGACGAGGCGCGGACGTCCATGACGCCGGCCGAGTACTACACGGACCGGCGATCGCAGCCGTACACTGGCAAGTCGCATCAGACGAGCTACCGTGGCTCGGTCGACACGCGCTCTTCGCAAAAGAGCACGCAACGCCACTCGACGATCGACGTGGGCAACTCCAACTCGCGCTCGACGGGTCCCGTGGTTGCCGGCGGCGAGGTCAACCAGCTCGAGGGCTACGACATTCGGTTCGACAAGTCGATGAGCAACTTTCGCGTCGCGAACGAAGAAGTCGAACTCTTTGACGTGCTTGCGCGCGGTGGCTTTGGCGTCATCTACCACGGCCGCTTTGCCGGCGAAGAGGTCGCGGTGAAGAAGTGCTTGCCTGAGAAAGTCAACAACCACGAGGCGATGGAAGCGTTCATGTGCGAGATCAAGCTCATGTCGAAATTGGACCATCCAAACATTGTGCGATTCGTCGGCGTCGCATGGACGACGCTGCTGCAGCTCAAGATGCTCACCGAGTTCCAGCGCAACGGCAACGTCCGGAACCTCCTCGTCGAGGACAAGGAGCGCCGCCAGATCGCGTGGTTTGGGGCGGGCGCCGTCACGAAGCTCCGGATCGCCTCGGACGTGGCCGAAGCGCTCGTGTACTTGCACACGGCGTCGCCACCGATCATCCACCGCGACCTCAAGAGCAGCAACGTGCTGTTAGGGGACGCGTGGGAGGCCAAGCTGACCGACTTTGGCACGAGCCGCGAGCTCAGCGACGAGAACACGATGACGGCCGAGATTGGGACGCTCGCGTGGATCGCGCCCGAAATCATGCTTGGCGGCCACTACACGGAGCGCGCCGACGTCTACTCGTTTGGCGTGCTTTTGAACGAACTCGACCTCGCGGACCTTCCGTACTCGAACGTGACGAGCGACGGCTTCATCTCGCACACGCGGCTCGGCGTCATGGTGGCCGCCGGCAAGATCGCGCCCAAATTTTCAAGCGAGTGCCCCGAGCCGATTGCAGCGCTCGGGACCGAGTGCCTCCGCTTCGAGGCGTCGAGCCGCCCCACAGCGATGCAGATCGCGTACCGCCTCCGCCAGATGACCAAGAGCACGACCCGGCCGCTCTAACTCGTCCGCTGTATACAACATGTGCTATTATTTATGCAGTGCCATCAGTAGCGCAAGAGAAATATTTGGCGGATGCAGTCCCCAGCAGACGAGCGCTGGACTGTGATTTATTCGCAGTGCGCAAGTCCACGTTGGCGAGGAAGCCGGGAGCAGGGACCTTTAGTAGTAGTAGCACTCGAGCTGCGTCGGGTCAAAAAATCGAGGTGAGCACGAGGCTCTGGTTGGCGCCGAGGGTGTTGAGTCGACTGCGAGACCGAGTGCATGTAGTCGGTCGACCGAAGCGTGAGCGACACGAGTCGAAAGGTTCTGGATCGTGATCGTCTGGAACTGGTTGGCGTACTGGCGTGCAAATCTGGTCACGCCGCGTTTCGCCACAGTGCTACCGCCACCGATGCCAGCGAAAGGCCGCCCTAGACGCTCGCGCGGTGAACGCTTGTGGCAATGTTAGCTATTATAGTGTGTGCCTGGGCAGCCACTGCGCAGCACGTACAATGTGCATCCTAGCGGGCTACGCTCCGTCGACGCACGCTTCCTTGGCCATGGACGCGCCAGCAAATAGCCTCGGTCGACCCCATGGCGATCTGATCGCAAGGATATCCGGATGCATACGGATATGGGTGTATTGAACGTCAAGCTCAGTGTCGACAGCGAAGCATGAAACGGAGGGCGGCGCTGCTCGTGCTGCTGGTCGTGGCGCTGGGCGCCGGGGCGCTCACCCACGTCCCGAAGCCGTCTGCGACGACCGCGCCACCGATGGCCAGACCGCGCGCCGCTGACCGTACCAGTCTCGACGGCGTCTGCCGCACGTTCCACATGAGCGGCTCGTGGTGGCGCTACGAGTGGTGCCACCAAGAGCACGTGCGGCAGTACTCGGTCGACCCGGTCACGGGCGCGGAGGCCTCGGTGAACATCATTGGCCGCTTCTTCGGTGCGACCGACGGCGAGGCGTCGCCGACGCGCGCCCGGCCGTTCTTGACGCACGTGTTTCTGAACGGCGACATGTGCCATGGCGGGTCGCGGCAGTCGCCGGTCGCGCGCAACCGCAGCGCCGAGGTACGCTTCTCGTGCTGCAGCTTTCGACCGACGGAGACGTACATTGAGAGCATATCGGAGCCGCTCTTATGCGAGTACCTCGTGAGCGTCTGTACGCCGTTGGCGTGCGTCACCAAGCTGCAGGCGCCCGACGAGAGCAGCGACGACACCAAGCGGCTCCGGGCCACCGTCAAGGCCATGTTCTACCACGCGTACAACAACTACATGGAGCACGCGTTCCCGCTCGACAACCTCCGGCCAATTTCGTGCAAGGGCGACACGTTCGAGCTCGGGAAGATCCCGATGCTGACGCTCATCGACACTCTCGACACACTGGTCGTCTTTGGCGACTTTGACGAGTTTCGCCGCGCGGTGGGTCTCGTGCTCGCGGGTGCGAGCTTCGACTTGAACACCGAGGTCTCGGTCTTTGAAACAACGATCCGGGTACGTTCCGCGACGTCGTGTTTTTCTCACAGCCTTCAATGTACCGCGAGTAGGTGCTTGGTGGGCTTCTCTCGGCGCACATGTTTGCGGTCGATGCGTCGCTTGGCATCTATCCGGACGGCGCGTATACCGATGGGCTCCTGCGCTTGGCGGTCGACCTCGCCGACCGGCTTCTCCCCGCGTTTGTGACCAAGACAGGGATTCCGTACGGGACCGTCAATCTGCGCTACGGCGTGCCCGAGGGCGAGACGACCGTGGCCTCGACAGCCGGCGCCGGGTCGCTCACGATGGAGTTTACAATGCTGAGTGTCTTGACGGGCAACCCGGTGTACGCGATCGCATCGCGCAAGGCCGTGCGGGCGCTCTATGAGCGCAAATCGAGCGTCGGGCTCCTCGGCAAGCACATTGACGTCGACTCGGGCGACTGGACCGAGACGATTAGCGGCCCGGGCTCCAATTCCGACAGCTTTTACGAGTACCTCCTCAAGATGTACGTGCTTTTCGGCGACGACGAGTCGCTCGCGATGTTTCAGCACGTCTACTCGAACGTCATGGAGCACAACAAGCACGGCGACTGGTACGGCGACGTCTCCATGTGGGATGGCTGCACGGGCGGTGCGGCCATTGTCTTCGACAACCTCGTCGCGTTCTGGCCGGGCATGCAGACGCTGCTCGGCGACTTCGAGACGAGTGCGAAGAGCCTCAACGCCTACTACCAGGTGTGGCACAAGTACGGCTTTCTGCCCGAGCAGTTTGACGTGGGTCGGTGGCGCCCGAAGAAGGCGTCGAGCAACCGGTACCCGCTGCGGCCCGAGCTCATCGAGTCGACCTTCTACATGCACGCGGCGACGCGCGATGACACGTGGCGCAAGGCCGGCGCGGCGTTCGTTGCATCAATCGAGCGCTTCTCCAAGACGACCTGCGGCTACGCGTCGATCGCGGACGTCGAGTCGCGCGCCCAGGAGGACGACATGCCGTCCTTCTTCCTCTCGGAAACGTGCAAGTACCTCTACTTGCTTTTCGACGACACCAATCTGCTCCGGCAAGGCAACTACGTCTTTACGACCGAAGCGCACCCGTTCCCGGTGCTTTCGTCGGCCCAAGTCGCGGCCATTTGGACGCGAGGCAGCGACCCGAGCCTGCAGCCGGCGCCCCGACAAGCGCTCACGTGCCCCCGCCTCCCGTTCTACGCCCCCGTCTCGTTCAACACGTCGTACCAAGATGCGTTTGTCAAGATGAAGCCCCGTTGCGACGCGCCGCGCCGATCGGGTGCCAAGGCGAGCAAGAAGACGCCGGCCAAGGTGACGGCGCCCCGCGTCTTGCACGGCGGCGACGCGCTCGGCAACTTTCTCATCGACCAGCTCGTCGGCGGCTTCCGTGCCCGCAGCGATCGGTTTCCCGGCGATGCGCTCAAGGTCACCAACCTCGGCGACCCCAAGATCGTCGTCGAGTTCCACTCGTCCGACCCCGCGCCGCTCGCGGACTTTCGCATCCACAACTTTGAGACGGACGTGACGACGCGCTGTCGACTGCTCGTCTACGACGCCGACGACCAATTACTCGACACGATCACGTGCTCGGGCGCGCTCTTTGGTCCGACCAAGACGGAAGGGGCGTCCGTGCTGGTCGAGAAGCGGCCGCTGGAGCTCGCATCGCCCTTGCGCGCGTGTGCGGCCATGGAGGCCGTCAGCATCGGCGCGATCGCGCTCGTCCAGCGCGGCGACTGCTACTTTGACGACAAGGCGCGCCGGGGCATGGACGCTGGCGCCAGCGCCGTCATCATCGTCAACAACGACGCCGCCGAGGACCTCATGATCATGGCGCGGTCGTCGTCGCTCGATGCGGCGCTGGACGAAACGCCCATCTCGGTGCCCATCGTCATGGTCGCACCGACGGCCGAGGCGCGACTTCGCCGACCCAACACCCGCATCTCGCTCGAGCATCACTCGGTGCCCCTCGACGACGACGACTTCCCGTACGTTGTCGGGTCGCGCTACGACCTCAAAGTCGTGGGGCCGCACGGCTGGGGCCTCCACCTCGCGCTCAAGACGAGCGACGCGACGGGCGTCTCGGCGTGGACGATTGCACTTGTGGACGCCACGGCCCCCGAAGAGGATGACAGCGATGACGTCGACGCGTCGACGTCGGAGGAGACGACGACCCAAGCCTTTGCGCGCGTCTTGCAGCAGCTCAAGGGACTCGGCTTCTCGGACGAAGCGCTGCATTTGCTCGAGAACGAAGACGACGCGGATCTGCGACTCGAGGCGCTCCTCAACGGGCTCCGAGACGTCGGACTCGACGAGATGGCCGACAAGGTAGCACTCAAGACAAGCGACGCCAAGCTCGCAACGACCTCCAAGGACGACCCTCTCACTCCTGCCGACGCCAAAAGGTCTCAGTCGATGGACCGCGAAGCGGACTCGGCCTCGAGTGACATGTGCACGGACGCCGACGCCCCCACCAACGTCCCTGGTAGGTAGGTCGTCACGAGGGAGCTACTCGAACAAAACGAGTCGTGTCATCGTCTTAGGTCAGATACGCGGCTGTGATTTCTTCCGACGACGAGTCGCGCAAAATGTTCTCCTACCAGATGTCGCTTGTTATACCATCGCAGAAGGAGAGATAGGACGTACACGCTCGAGGGTGCACTCGCCGCCAACGTGCACGTCGAAAGCGTACTGGTAGAAGAAGCCGTCGATCGTCGCGACCAAGAGCTGCGCTTTCGAGCTGCCTTGACTTGGCCCATGGATCGCGCAGAGGTTGGGCACGCGCGCTGTGCGCAGCCGCGCCTACCATGACGTGAGCCATCGCAGCAGGACGATGTGTTTACAAAGGCAAAGTCCCGTGTGCCCTCGGCGATGCGCGACATAGACGACGGGATGTACGAGCCGACGGCGCCGAGGACGGCATCGGACGCAGACGTCGTCTCGCCGCGCGGGTTGAGCGAGGGCGGAATGGACGCAAAGGTGACGAACGAGCCCGACCGCGTCGACGTCTCGGTCAGCGAAAAGATGTGGACGGTGCCCGTGTCGCCCGAGCAGCAGAGCAGCGTCGACGCCGCGTTGAACGCGAGGCAGTAGATCTGCGCCGGGTACGACCCACGTCGGAACGTCGCCTTCTTCTTCCCACTTGGCACGTCAAAGACGCGCAGAATGGTCCCCTACCCCATGGTACACATGCAAGGGTTTGTACATGTAGAAAGGATACCGTGTCGGATGCGGTCGCGAGGAGCGTGCCCGTGCTGTTGAACGCCAGCGCGACCGGCGTCCCGCGGTGCGCTTGGACGGCGTTGAGAACGCTGAGGTTGTTGGCGTCGTACAGGACGATCTCGCCCGGGACGGTGCCCGTCGGGAAGGCGAGGTGGCCGTTCTCGCCAGGCGAGAGGACGCAGAGCGCCTTGGGATTCGGCGCCGTATCGAGCGTATTGAGCACCTGCATCGAGTTGATGTCAAAGATGTAGATCTTGCGCTCGAGCACGACGACAAGCCTACGCCATATATAGGAGCCTCGCCATCGCGTGGGCAGCGTACCGCTGGCGGTTGAGCTGCACGCTCAGCACCGCGGTGACAAAGTTGAGGTCGCAGATCGCGGCGCTCGTTTTCGTGTTCCAGACGCGAAGGCGCCGAGGCGAAAAGGCCGGCTACAAGAGACGTTAGCTGTACAAGCCGACGTAGCTCGCAATACAGACCTGTTCGCCGGCGCCCACGAGCACCACAAGGCTCGTGCTGAAGAGCATCTGCGCAATGCCAATGCCCCCGGAGGCCTCGTGGAACGAGCGGCCAAAGGGCTCGCAGCTGTAGACGAAGAAGCCCTGGCGCGTGCCGACGCTGATGCACCTACGCACGCCGTGCGCATGAGGTGCTATGGCGCAGTCGTATGGCGTACGTCGCGTCTTGGTTGAAGCTCACGTAGAGCACTTGGCTCTCGGGGTCCGTCGACTTGAGGCCGAGCGACATGATGATGGTCTTCTCGACTGGGTCACCGCCAGAATCTTCGTCTTCTTCTTCGAAGTTCGAGCGTGGCCGCTTCGATGTTTCATGTCCGGTTCATATCCGGATGCACGACTGCTCAAGCAACTTCAACAAGGCCCCTCACCGCCAAGCGGGCAGCAGTAGCTGGCAGCAAACAAAAAGACTGCACTGCTGTATGTGCTATCGCGCATCATACCTGCCCTTGATTTTGAGGTGGCAAACCAGTGCTAAAATGGCGGTCGTAAACGCGAACGCGAATCGAGAATTCAGCACGCTTCACCCTAGTACAGCCAAGGGCATGAATACCCGTTACTTGACGCCCTTGCTATCACAAACTTGCCTCCAAAGAAGGATACCGCGTTGGAAGCGCTCTATCCAGAGGCAAGCCCCCACCATCCTTGATGTCCTGTTCAGCTCGCGGTCCTAGCTAGCCCGTTCCAAGAGTTAAGTCGACCTAGGACACGATCTTCTTTTCCTGCTAATCCAGTACTATTGCAACTCGAACGAGACGAAAACAAAACAGTCCTTCAAGCGCACGACCATACAAAGCACGCAACGACGTCCACGTCACGTAGCGTACTGTAGGTGGCAGTTGGCGACACCTCGAAGCGGGAACCGAAACTTCGAACGGCCCGTCCGCACAACCAGATGGCCTCATTGACAAAACGTGTGGGCGGCTTCAGGAACACACCAATGCACAAGTGCACAGCGGTATGCCATCGTCAATCTGTCTTGCTGCGTCTATTAGTACGCATCCCAATCAACAGTTGTGTCGTCGTCGCCGCTGCCTGGAGCCGAAGTTCGAAGCCCGTCGGTCGCGTGTCAAGCCGAACGACTGGTGGGTTGGCGCGATCAGCGAGCGTGGACCGACCGCTCTACAGTATGGCTGGCACCCACTGCAAACGAGCGCCAGCCATTATCATTGCGCAACTGTCCAGCATGCACCGAGTCGTCGTACTTCGCCTCGTGCTGCTGCTTGCGCTCGTCACGCCCGCTTCGAGTCTCCACGCGTACCGCAACGTCGTCTATTTTCTCGAGTGGGGCATCTACCGCGACTTCCACATCGCCAATCTCGACTGGTCGCGCACCACGCACGTCAATTATGCGTTCGCGATGCCACAAGTTGACGGCTCGATCTCCTTTCTGGACGAGTTTGCCGCGACCCAGCGCGTCTACGGACACGACCTGGGCCTCGGTGCTGTCCAGGGCTGCTTTGGCCAAGCCAACAAGTACAAACGCGCGTATCGAGGCACCAAGTTCGGTCTCTCGTTTGGCGGCTGGAGCGGCAGCGGCCCATTCCCAACGATCGCCGCCTCACCAAAACTCCGCGCGGCCTTTGTCGCCAACGCTGTCGCGCTGCTCGAGGACCTCGGCCTCGACTTTATCGATCTCGACTGGGAGTACCCGGCGCTGGCGCAGCTGCCGCTGTTCGCGACGCTTCTGGCCGACATGCGTGCCGCCCTTGACGCCCTCCCGTTCCGGGCCGAGCTCAGCATCGCCGCGCCGGGGTTTCCAGCCAATTGGGACAAGCAATCCATGACAGCCATTTGCAGCCACGTCGACTTTCTCAACCTCATGACGTACGTCTTCCTTTGACATCGTCTTCTGAAGCAGAGGTAGGTACGAGTACACTGGCGCGTGGAGTAGCCGAGTTGGGTACCACAGCAACCTCTTCCCGAACCCACACGCGCCAAACGGCCTTCGCAGCTCCGTGAGCAGCGCTGTTCAGTACTACTTGACGCGCGGGTGTCCATCCGAGAAGCTCGTCATGGGCGTGCCGCTCTACGGCAAGTCGTTTGAGCGGACGCGCGGCCTCTTTGCTCCGTTTGCGCCGCCGACGTCCGGCTCCCACGCCCCGGACGGGCTCTGGGACTACAAGGACATTGCTTTGCACGCGTCGCCCAGGTTTGATGCGACGGCGCAAGCCACGTACGCGTACAACGCGACGACGCGGACTGTCCTTGTGTATGTGCACTGCAACCCTACCCCTTCCATTAACCCTACCCCTGGTAGGTACGACGACCCCAAGTCCGTTGCGGCCAAGGTGGCGTACATGCAGGCCCACCGCCTTGGCGGGCTCATGTTTTGGGAGGCATCCGGTGACGCGGCAGCGGGTTCGAGCGCGTCACTGCTCACGACGTATGCGTCGCTGGTCGGCAAGGACAACATGGATTTCCGACCCAACAACTTGTGGTACCCCCACTCGCGCTACGACAACATTCGTCGTCCGCCGCTGCTCGGCGGCTTTACGCCCTAACCCTATTTTCTGTTGGTCAATATCTACGTGTGCGTAAAGTATAATCCTTCTCTAGTAGATCGAGGCCTTGGTCGCGTGATGGCGCTGGAGAAGCCCGCGCCAGTAGCTGACGCCGCCCGGGTTGACGCGGTGGAGCAGCGCTTGGAGACTGGCCTTGGTGCGCTCGGCAAGCTCAGTATCCGACTCGCCGTCGCGCGGCACGATGGGCTCGCCAAAGACGAGGCCGGCGCGGACCGGCACGGGCAGGCTCCAGAAGGTCCAGACCACGAACCACGTGTACATGCGCAAGTGGATGAGAAACCAGCGCCACGGCATCGGCGTCGCCGACGTGAGCGCTGCATACGCGCGCGAGAGCCCCAGCAGATTCCACATGTACCCGAGCACATTGAAGAACATTTCTTCGCCGTTGCGCGTCACGTACGGCACGATCGTTGCGCCAACGTGCTGTGCGAGTCTGGCAAAGCCGCGGCGGTCGCGGCCCGAGCTGCTCTTCCTACAAGCAAGAAGCTCTATGCCATGCACGAGCTGGACGTGCTACCAGAGGAGCGTGTACGCAGACTCAAAGCCTTGCATGGCTTCTTCGCCGCCGCCAGGAATGCACATGCAGTTGTGTCCTGCTCTGTACATGGCGATCGCATTGGCTTGCGTGCCGGCGATACCCCCCACTGGACGCAGGATGGGACCTAGACATCCATGAGCGTTGATCGCAAAAAAGTAAAGGAAGGACCTAAGAAGAACATAACCACGGTGTGCACAAGGGCACAGGGGAGGTCGCCCGTCGCCGCGTAGATGCCTGCTGCGCTTGGGAAGAGGTCGTGGTTGTGGATCGAGTGGTAGCCGACGTAAAGTAAGCGCCCTGTCTTGGGAATGTTCTCTTGACCTACGTAGCCGCTAGGAGGCAATCGGGATGATGGCTGAGAGACCTTCAAGGTGCCAGTCGTAGAAGCGCACGTAGAGAGGGTAGAAGATCTTGTACGCGGCTTGGAAGGCGCGTGATTGCGCATGGTCGACGGGAGCCATTTTAAGAAATAGACTCGTGTGTCAACGGCGCCCCTAGCAATGGGCCTCGTCATTCAACCTCCGTGCTGGCTCGGTTACGCGACGAAACGATTGGCCGTCACGTCAAGTCGCAAGCACAACTTACTTTCAATGGGCTACCATAAACAACTATACAGTGTGGTGCGGTTCTCAGCCGCACGTGCGTTGCCACATGTCTTGCCGTTCTCCTGGTTGGTTGACAGTTTGTTATTGTATGGAATGCTATCCAAGACGTTGAGTTGTTTGTAACTAGCAAGTGCTATATATTTTTCGGCTGAAGTTCGCCCCGACAACAACTGCGTCGGGTATCCCTAGCATCGATCGGGAACGTTGGACGCGTGCCGCAAGACTCTTATGGCAGTGTCGGTCGACGTAGCCATCTGCAGGCAGCGCGGGCATGCAGCAGCGTGCACTTCTGTGCTCCGAACGCCGTGCCGCCTGGGTTTCTTAGGCAGTAGCAATCCACTCCGGCTTGGGCCACCGTGGTTTCAAGATCGCAGCCATTCTAGGCGTCGCAGCCGTTGAATGCAAACTGGACGCCGCCATGCAACCTTTCCCTCGGCGCCACTTCGCGCGGCTTGACTGCGTTCGGATCAGGTCCTATGCAAGAAGTCATTCCGACGAATTACCCCAAGTCTCTGTGTCTGCAGCGAAGAGCTAGCCCGCGTCCAGCAGCCCCTTGTGCTTGTTTTAGTCTAAACCCTATTTCGAGCTCAACTCGCGTAACGTTCATGCTCGCATGGGTGCCGCGGTGAGCGACTACTTCACGGACCCCACCGATGTCTCGGAGGGCTACGTCGGTACACCTGCCACGACAGACCCACGTGACGGCTGTGGTAGACATCCCGGACCCGTCAATCATTATCCACCACGCGTGCGCCAAGGCACAAGGGCACGTGGCGAGCATCTACTTCAAGAAGGGCGGCGACCCCAATGAAAAAGTGCTTTGAAGAAGACGATACCTACGTACCCTCGTATGCTTTTTTCGCCATGTCCTTGAAGACGCTTGTGTTGACAGGAGCGCGATGACACACCCATGATCTGCGCGGCAAGGTGCATATTACCTCCCACTTCAACTCGAGCAGGCACCACCGATAGGGGCTGCCCAGACGTGCCAGGTGCCACGCCCAAGCATGTAGCGACCTTGGAGATCGTGCTCCTCTACGGCGGCGACGTCAACGCGTACAACAAGGTTCTACACGATGCGACGACGTTCTCTCAAACCTCTCAGGTGCACCAAACACCCTTGTACGTAGCCGTTCAAAAGGGCTACCTGAACATCGCCGCCTGGCTTATTGTCAACGGCGCCAACGTTGATATTTGCGACTCGGTGCGTGGCCACTGACCCGAATTTCGGGAATTCGACGCATGGTGCAGGTCGGTGTCTCGCCTCTCTTGCTGGCAGCCCGGCTCGGCCGCGCCGACTTGGTGACGCTGCTGCTCGACAGCAAGGCGCGCGTGGCCGCACTTCGGCGACGCGCCAGCTGCCTCAAGGTCGGCTCGAATGACTGGAACGTGAAAAGATGCATTTTCGTGGCGTAGTTTCCATCGCTGGCCGAGGAGAACGCCACGTACACTCGACTGCCGCCAACCTCCTTGGATCATACAAGGCACGTAGATTCACACCCGAGATTCAAGCGCTACTGGCGACCGCGCTACAAAAGGAGGCGGAAGCGAACGCGTCGCGCATGGCGGCGCAGCGCTCCAAGGACACTCGCGCGCACATGGAGCAGCTCAAAGGCCAGCTGCAGCAAGTGCGCGAGGCGACGCGCCGGGCCAACGTGGAAGCGCGATTGCTGGAAGCGCACACCAAGGCACACACCCCCGTGTTTTCTGTTCCTGAAAACACCTGCCGCGCCAGCGATTACGCCCGTGCGTCACGGCGGAGGCACGTGGGTCAAGTAAAAGGCCACGCCGACGCCGTCGCTCGCCGACCACTTTCGGTCGTCGCCGGCGCTCAACCGGATTCACTCGGCGCCGACCGAGTGGACGTTTGTGACCGCCGACTTCTCGAGCTCCGCGTCGCTGCACGAGCACGACCTCTTGCACAGCTCGACCGAGCTCTACGCGAGTCTGAAGCGGCGCCGAGAGCGCACGGCGGACCCTCGCAACATTCAGTCGGCGCCCGAGGTGGCGACGCTGCGACGAAATGCGCTGGCTACCGTGCGTCCACACACGACGATCGCCGTCCAAACCCGCCAGAGATAGCCCATCCTTATTCCTCTGCAATATATATATGTACATCCAAGGGACAAACATCGAGTTCTTAGTTGATGTCGTACGACGGGATGTTTTGAGCGAGGACGTCGTCGGGAAAGCAGTCGTCGGGCGGACGCGCGAAGACCCGCACCGCGCCGTCACGTGCGCTGACCGCAATCGAAGCCGCTTGAAACGCAATGTGCGTCGCGGGCCCGTCAAAGAGCGTCGCCGCCAACGTCGGCGTCGAGAGGGTGCGGCAGGCCACTCCTGACGTCTCGTCGACCTAGTACCTCTCTCGTTACCGACACTGGAATGGACGTTTTCTAGACGTACGTTGCCTGGCACGGGCACGTCCCAGAGAATCAGCATGCCGTCTTCGCCGACGGAGCCGAAGCGAAGGTGCTGCGGCGAGCAAAACCACTCGTCGAACGCGACGCGCGTGACCTACCATCCGTCAAGAGGTGTGCGGCAAGGTGCTCTCGTACCCAGGAGCGGTGGCCTTCGCAGCGCACGATGGCGGCGTTGTGGCGGAGACTCCAGAGCGTCACGCAGTCGTCTTGCCCGCCCGTCTAGACGCACTTAATGCACATGCCTTTTGCGAGGTCGAGTACGAGGAGGTAGTTGCTATCGGGGCTCCACGCAAGCGTCGTGAGCGCTCCAAACGCGCTCTTCATGAGCGCAATCTTCCTAGTACGCATACGATTGAGCCCGTGAGGAGGCACGCGACGGACCGCTGCAAGTGAAACTGCACGACAGTGAGCGAGCCGTCCCGCCCCGCGATGGCGAGGTACTTGCCGTGCGGCGAGAAGGCCACGTCATAAATCGCAGAGCTCGACACCTTCCAGTGCAGCGTCGGGTTCACACGGTCTTCGCGCTGACTGCGAATCGGAAAGTCCGGGCTCTCTTCGCTCACGAGACTCGCGAGAGACTCGTCGCTCCAAGTGTGGTCGTACAGGAAGAGGTCGCCCGACTCGTGCGCGACAACGAACTCGGTGTGGCTTTGGCCAACCCACTTGACGCTGGTCACGGGGCTGGCACAGATGCGGCCCTACGCAATATATACAGCGACTCTGGCTTCAGGAGCAGCAAAAACCCCGCGGTTGTGGTGCGAGTATGTGTCGAGGCCATGGAGCGGGTCCAAGACCACAAGGTCGGACGAGAGGAGCGCGAGGACGACGTTCGTGGGCTGCGTCGGCAGCATCGGAAGGCGAAAGTCGTGGCAGATGGGTGTGCTATTGAAGCGCATGACGTCGACCGGCGCCTACGCAGCAGCGTCGCGATGAGACGCCAAGTGCAACCTCAGAAACAAACAGCAAACGACGGGAACGGGAAGACAAATATGTAGTCGAGGACGTTGTGCAAGACAAACACGTCGGGCTGCTTGGCCGACCGAGGCGTCTCGGCCATGGTGCGGTACGGGATGAACGTCTTGGTCTGCACGAACGAGAGACTGCACTTGTGGTTCCAATGGGACCGGCGGTGCGCAAGGACGTCGCGGTCGTCGTCGTCGTCGTCGTCCTGGCCGAGTGGCACGTTCATCATGTGGAGGCCCGCGCGCTTGTCCAGCGATGCGAGCGCGTCCATCGAGTCGAACGCGCGCTGGAGCGTGTAGATGCTGCCCGTCGCTGCGCGCAGCTCCGCGTCACCGGTCATGCCGATTCGGATTGCAAAGTGCTGTGATTGGCTAAAATGGAAGGACAATTCGCATGTGATTGGTGGAAATCTTTCGTCGTCCACGTGGCACCTTCACACGCAGCGAATTGGACGCTTTGTCATGTGTGTGCGGCCGCCTCGAGAAGCCCACAGAGACGCGCGGCACGGCCCCTCGTTTCAGCAATCGTGCCCACAACTGCAGCTTGGTGCGGACATTCATGGGTACACTAGTACACGACAAGTTGTCCACTTTATGAAGTCGCTGTGGTTCGCTGCCGCCGATCGGTTGCAACGTGAACGCCAACTTTTGACGGGCGTAAATGGCTGCGCTTCCAGTGCGTCCATCGTAGATTCTGAGACGTCACGTCGCGTGCTTGATTTTATGAACACAAATACTTCACCATTTCGGAGACGCACGGCTGTAAATGCCTTGCAAGGCAAGGGAGGTCGAGGCGAAGCGTTGACAATCTAACGATCAACCATGACGCAAACGTGGCTGCGATTGTGTCGAGTCTGGTCAACTGGAAGCGGGTCTCTGTGCTCATCTGTTTGTGTTGCCAGCGAGGAGCCGCATCGTACCACGACCATGCCTCGTCAGGCAATTGCTTTGCGATCGGTGCGATCACAAACACGTACGTTGCATCGCATCCGCCGGTGTCATAGCGAATCTCTGCGTCGACGGCCACTCGTCGGACGGCGCCTTTGTCAACGTACCAACTTGGTGCTTGGGTGCCTCGAGATCGAATACCAATATAGTATACTAGTAGTGTCTACGTTGCCCCGCGGAATTTCAATATGGAAAATATCGTCATAAAAAAGATATTTACGCTAGGACTCGGATCTGGCAGGAACGCATTCACGCGGCTGCATATATGACAACCCCGTCGAGCTCGTCAAGCAGACGGAGACGGACGAGAAAACCGCCCCGACGGACGACAAGGACGACGACGACGGTACGGGCGCCCCATGTCGGCGAGGTAGCGTTCCAGAGTCGCTGCCATCGCCTTGTCTTCGCGCGCCATTTGCTGTGTTTGCATGGCATTGGTCCACCAGGACTCATCGTGATCCGTTGGATAGCGCTTGCGGATCACCCACGCGTCGTGGTACAGGTCGTGGGCCAGCCGATCGGCATGGCGACTTGTCACGCCTTCCACTTGCGCGCACATGTCGCCGTGCAGCGGAAACAAGGTCTCGTCACTGGCACGCAAAAACCGATCAAAGAGCCGGCATTCGTAGCAGTGCGTCGCGTCCATCGCAACGTCGCGGATCGCCAAGTCGAAGGGCCTCGCGTTGACGCACATCTTGATCGAGTCCTCGAGCAGCAGCGCAATCTTGGCGCGGTAGCCCATCTTGTGCAGCTTGTCGAGGACGGGAAAGAACAAGAGGCGGTTCGTCCATGAGCTCAGCTCCAACGCTTGGTACCACGTTGAGAAAAACGACTTGAACGTCTCGGGCTCCGTGACCATCAGAAGGTCCATCGCCTCCAGCGTCGAGTGCACTCGGGATGTAAAGTACATCTGCTCGACTTTGACTTCGAAGCTCGTCATGTTCCTCGGTAGCGTATGTGCGAGCACCATGATCCAGCGTGCGATCGCTGCCCGCTCGGGCGCCGCCAACGGACACGGACGCTTTCGCAGAAACGACGCGACACCCAGAAGCGCCGTGACGCCCCAGATCGAGAAGCAGTTCTCGAGCAGCGTCGGGTCCACGCGACCGGCGTGATCCGCGAGAAGCAAGAGATCGCACAAAGCGTCGCCGGAGAAGAGGGTCCACTGCCAATCATGAATGACACCCCGGTTTGCCTTGACCGTACACACCAATGAAAGCACCGTGTCCACAAACGTGCCGACTTGCAGTGCCGGCTGGCTCGCTAACGCCTTGACGATCGCGGTCGGCACACTTAGGAGCCACGTGATCGGCGGTAGCTCGTCGGAAAAGCCGTTGGAGCCGGGGTGGACGAAGCTGTCGACGTGGGCCGCGAGCACAAGTGGCAGGCGCTCACTGTACCAGTAGCTGTCTGGACGGTGCGGTACCAATTCGTTGATGTACCAGTCGAGCAAGACGATGTGTGTCAGGCAATACGTCTGGAGCGCCGGGTCTTCGCCGTCCGGGTACAAGATATCGGTTCGGCGCTGCCGCTGCGCCGTCGCATAGCTCGCGCGAACGAGCTCGCCGATACCTATTTGCTGCAGCGGCGGACACACGGCGTCGTCGGTCGCGACACCGGCGAGGCTCGATAGCAAATGCAATACGGCGCCGGTCTTGCCGTCAGCGCACCACCGCTGGATGAGACCGTCGACGGCCGGGACGAGCGTCACCCAGCCGTGCTTGGTCAAGCACGCATGCACGAACGTTGCAACCTCCGGGAGCTCCGTGTCGATGGTCACCGAGACGACGTCGCGGAGGCAAAGCACGACGAGATCGAGATCGTCGAGGCGAAGAAGCGCCGCACAGAAGCGGGTCAAAAACCCCGCGGTGGGCCGGCCGGCGTGGCGCTTGCCGCCTGCATTGTTGAACGGCGGCATGTCATACTTGGCAATATACGCCGTGTGCGGCCGGAAGATGGCCATGGCACCGAGCATGCAGTCGCGGTGGCTGTCGAGACCGAGGCAAGCAGCGTCCAGCAGCGGCAAGACGACATCGATGCCCACAATGCCGGCGCGATGCGGCTTGAGCCAAAAGACCAGCGCGGCGCAAGGAGCCTCAAAATCTGCCGCGCTAACGTCTTTAGTGTTTGTGAGAAAGATGTCGGCGCCCATGCCAACGAGGCCGCTCGCCACGTCGGTGGGGATGCAGCAGGCGTCGTAGGGCGTGCACTTGGCGATACAGTTGACGTAAGCGGTCGTGCTCGGTTCGTTCTTCGCAGCGACACGCTTGGTGGTCGCAAACTCAACGAGCGCTACATCGAACGCGCCTGTCGCGACGAGTGCGTCGGCGAGCGCGTCGGCCATGGCATCCAATGTCGCAGGGCTCGCCACGGCATACGCCACGCGCGCCTTGTAGCGCAGCGGCGCCTGCGCAATCTGGCGAAGCGCGGCGACCGCTGCGTCTTCGGACATGCGTAGCGCGGTCAAAGCCGCCTCGTACGCCGCCTTATTGTTCGACATGACGTGTCTGAGAGTGACGTTGACCAAACCTTAAAAGTCTTTTCACGCGTTTCGATTTGCTACCACGCCAATCATGATGCGCGAAATCGGTTTGCCTCTATCGACTATTCCCACGCTACTACCTTATTAGCGACGCGGGAAAGGATGACCCTTTCAAACCCGTTTGAAACGCGTTTGAAACAAACGTTTTTATTCTTGAGCCGTTTGAAACGAATCACGTGTGAGGACAACACCATTTGCACGCACCCCATGCTCTACGTGCTTTCGGCTTATCGACCATGGCTCGTAGTCACTGCTGGCTCGTAGTACCGAGCATGCCGTGCATCGACGGTGAGCTGTCCCCGCGAGCCTTTCTTCTTGTGACGTTTGGGACGTAGATGGGCGCGACCGAGATCGAGAGGCGACCACAAACCAGGGGGACATAAGAGTTTCATGTACATGATGGAGCACCTACCCCGTGTCCCTGGACCTAAGACATAAGAGTGTCATGTACATGATGCAGTACCCCATACCCCTGGACCCGATGTCCCTGGTATACCCCTACCCCGCTTTGGTCCGAATTTCAATGTTGAGATTCGGATGTGTCCGAATTTCGCCCCAAGAAAACACATGGCTCAGTGCCAGAACGATCCATGAGCGACTACTGCGTCCGCTGCAAGCATGGCTCGAACGCCAGCCTGGACGAGTCGTACGTCAACGTCCACGCGAGCGCGATGAACCCGGCCATGTCGACGCGCGACGCCTCCTTGAGCCACGCCGATGTGAGCTCGCACGTCAAGAAGATCCAGCGCCTGCATGTTGTCGCGGACGGCGTTGCGACGGCCTCGTATGCGTCGCCGGCGTTCTGCACCGACT